AAGCAGCAGCACTTTTGCAAGAGAAATTTTTTGGGGAAATTCGAGAAAATAACAAACCAAAGCGTAACGAGCAGTTGTAGGAAGTGATTTTTTGGTTACAATTTGCCATTCGAAATGGCGCGCCGAAGTATTCATTAGAAATGCTTGTGGTGAGAGGTCCATTTCTTGCAACCTAAAAAAGTAAAAAATTTTTTTTTCACCCAGTGCGATTTGAACTCTTTTTTGAAGCTTATTCATAAATGGAAGGATTACTTGAATGGTACCAATGGAAAGGACGGTACATCGATGGTGAGAGGGGATCAAAAAAGACCTTTATCGTAGCCAAACCTAATGTCTCGGAACTCAAACTTTACAGCCCCCTTCGTGTAAAAAATTACCAAGAATATCAAGGCGGCCTGAGCTAACAGTGTATTCGTATTTTTTTGGGCCAAAGGCGGATCTAGGGTGGTCTAGTGGGGAGGCAGGGAGGGGGACGACAGACGGTATCGAACACAATTTTCCGCAAGACCCCTCGCCCCCCCCCCTCTCCCTGGATCTGCCAATGTTTAGGGCCATCCAAACAAGCATCGATTGCTCATAGCTCCTAGTGGCAAGGCTAAATACCACGGTTCTTGATCATAACTCCATTCAACTTCTACGCTCTGAAGGTGCGCAGAATTTTATGAAAATTAATTAAATGTCCATAAATTTATAAGGTAATTGAGAACCATGCTGCAAGCTATTTTCACCTTAGCTGCGAAAGAAAAGAAAAAGCCCGTAGTAGAAGTGGCAATGCTACCTAATGTTTACTCGCTGAATAGAGTTCCTAATGCTATTTAAGCCTTTGGAAGGATAAAAGAAGTTTTACAAAAAATGATACCCAACAGCATAAAAATCCGGTGGATCGCCGTTGAAAGTGAGCCATTTTGGGATCATTTCTAAAGCTGGTACTCTACCATTGACGTTGAATGTTGTTATGAATATTGATGAGTTCGAATATGACGAGTACCTAAAAACTGGGTCCACCCAATGCACAACAATGCAAAAAAGGCTAGGCAAG